TCGCCTTTTCGGGAGGGAGCATAGCATTGAACTACTTCATAATTTTAAGGCTCCTCTAATGAGTATTTTTGGGCACAGCAGGTACAAATCAATAGATTAAAATACTGTACACTCTTGCCGCATCTAATTCTTGACTGCCTGAAATTGCGGGGGAGGACCGGGAATAACATTTGTCACTGTGAGGGCTGAGTGCATTCAGATTTGTGAGCTCTAAGCCAACACAATGCAAAAATAGTCCAGGATGTGACTTAACTTTTCAAGTGAAAAGCAAAAGGCCAGGGATCTGCGAGGCTGTAGCTGGCAGACAGGCAGCTCCATCCCGAGCTATCTATCACTGTATCGGGTTGACCCGGCACAGTGTGACAACATCTCGGTGCCCTCGATGCACGCTGCCTGTATTTCGGCGCTCTCTGAAATGATCATTTTCTTTCACTATTGCTGCACCCGCCTTTTTCCCTCCAAATTCTGGCTTTTAAAACTGTGTCACTTCCAACGCACAGTGAAGTGTGCAGGCCTGTAATCATGGTGCAGTGAGTGACAAGGACAGAACTTGCCCGGCCTCTCTCCTTGCTTGTTTTGAAGCCCTGTGGACTTTGTGACATGATTTTCTCTTTTTTTAAAATTAATAAATGTCATTGTTTTGTAATACATCTCAATACAACATCTTATGTGGAAAGAATCAAAGTGAGAGCAGAAGTTTGCTAGAAGTGGTGTTTCTCCTTCATGCAGAAAAAAAATCCCCAGTAAATAACAAATCAAGCAGTGTCCTCAAGTTTCCAGCGGGGGTAGAGGATGGAGTGTCCCTGGGTGCTGCTCTCAATTGTTAATTCATAAAGACCCACAGTCCTGAGCAATGTTGCCCCAGCTTGTCCTGATACAGCAGAGATGCCGATGGCTGTGGATGGAGGCGTTGAGCCTCAGCGTCCTGTTCCAGCGAAGGCTCTGGCGTCTCCCCGAGCCTCACTCCTTGGGGTCCGCGTTAAATCTGTGTGTCCCAGGAAGGCTGCAGGGTGTGGGGACAGCGGAGTCAGTGCCACACACCTTCATCTCCAGCCCGGCACCTGCCTCGGCCAGGGGAGCAGCAGCGCTGGGGAGGTTTCTGGCACGGGTTTTCACATCCCTGCTTCCAGCAGCTCCCAATGCCCCGGCCCGGGGCTGTCTGTGCAGGGATGCAGCCCTTCATCGTCCCTCACGGCACCGGGGCCGCGGCCGGCGGGGTCGCTTGGGGGACGGCCGGGCCCCCTCGGAGGCTGCCCTGAGCCCGGCCCGGCCAGGCCGCCGCGTCCAGGGGCACAGCCGGACACAGCCCCCGGGCCAGGCACAGCTCTGCCCCCGGGCACAGCCCTGCCCCGGCACCGCCCCAGACCCCGGGCACTGCCCCTGCCCCCGGGCACAGCCCTGGGCACAACTCTGCCTTCGGGCACGGCCCTTTGTCCCTGGCACAGGCCCCGGCCCGGACACAGCCCTGTCTCAGCCACGACTCTGTCCCCCGGCCCAGCCCCTGTCCCCGGTGTAGTCGCAGCCCCCGGCCCAGCCCCTGCCCCGGGGCACAGCCGCCGGCCCGGCCCCGAGGCTGCCGAGGCCGCCCAGCCGCGGCTCCCACCTCAGCCGGGTGCGGGGACAGGCCCCGCCGCCCGGGAGGGGATGGAAGGTGAGGACCGCATCCACTGTTTGTTTCTTTCTTGTTTGTTTCTCTCTAAATCCCATCCCTGTAACAAAAGGGGAGTCTGGGCGGAACTATGGATCCGTCGGGCCGCGCATCCAGAGCGGAGCTCCGGTTGTCACCCGCCGGCTCCCGCTGCCCGCCCGGCCCTAGGTATGTCCACAGAGCACTTCCCTGGGCTTTGGGCACAGGGCTTCCAAATTTTCTCTTTTTCTTTTCTTTTCTTTTCTTTTCTTTTCTTTTCTTTTCTTTTCTTTTCTTTTCTTTTCTTTTCTTTTCTTTTCTTTTCTTTTCTTTTCTTTTCTTTTCTTTTCTTTTCTTTTCTTTTCTTTTCTTTTCTTTTCTTTTCTTTTCTTTTCTTTTCTTTTCTTTTCTTTTCTTTTCTTTTCTTTTCTTTTCTTTTCTTTTCTTTTCTTTTCTTTTCTTTTCTTTTCTTTTCTTTTCTTTTCTTTTCTTTTCTTTTCTTTTCTTTTCTTTTCTTTTCTTTTCTTTTCTTTTCTTTTCTTTTCTTTTCTTTTCTTTTCTTTTCTTTTCTTTTCTTTTCTTTTCTTTTCTTTTCTTTTCTTTTCTTTTCTTTTCTTTTCTTTTCTTTTCTTTTCTTTTCTTTTCTTTTCTTTTCTTTTCTTTTCTTTTCTTTTCTTTTCTTTTCTTTTCTTTTCTTTTCTTTTCTTTTCTTTTCTTTTCTTTTCTTTTCTTTTCTTTTCTTTTCTTTTCTTTTCTTTTCTTTTCTTTTCTTTTCTTTTCTTTTCTTTTCTTTTCTTTTCTTTTCTTTTCTTTTCTTTTCTTTTCTTTTCTTTTTCTTTCCTTTCCTTTCTATTTTTCTTTTTTCTCTTTTTTCTTTACCCTTCTCTTTCCCTTTTTCTTTCCTTTTTCCTTTTCCTCCCTCATTATTTTTCTTTTTCTCTGTTATTTTTCCTTTTCTTTTTCTATTTCTTCCTTTTTTTTTTCTTTTCTAGTTCTTGAATTTTCCCCCTTCCTTTCTTTTTCCTTCATACCTGTGCACACACAGAGACAAATTTAAACCCAACAGCAATCAAAAGGAGCTTTTAAAATGACTTTTTGGATCAGCCCTCAAGTTCTCTGCAGGGAGCAAGAATGGGAGCAGGCAGGATTTATATTTCATGGCTTTTAAAGAATCTGAAGTACAGGGAAAGGCGTTTGCCGAGGCTGAGTTTCACAAGTGTGTGTGGATGTTCCTCGGAATGTGTATATGATTAAGCCTAAAGCCCTCTTCTGTAAGAAAGCAGGCAGATTCCCTTTCCTGCAGCCTGAGCCCTGCTTCTCCAGTTTTGAAACAAAACTTCTTGCCAAGGCCTTGGCAGTGGGATGTCACTGCTGAAGGGGATGGAATCGGGGTGTTGGTATTGTATTCTAAAGCTGGGGTGTCTCCACTGCAAACAGCCCCTTCTCCCTCAAGCATTGAGAGCTGTGACAATTAAATGAGTCCAAAATTGAACCGAACAAGACCTAGTATTTTTTTTCCTTTTCCACCCCTTCCCCCCAACTTAACTGCTTCCAAACTCCCTGATGAAAGCATTTTAATATGTAGGAAGAGCTCCTGGAGTTTGCAATGCAATTCAGTGTTCTGTGGTGTGGGATGAACAGATTTTCCTTTCCGTAGGGTTTCCTCCTGCAAAGTCATTGTAGAGGAGGGAATACTGTAAGATTAAATCTGGTTAAAATACTATATTCATGTCACACCAGATATGGTCTCCAGACTGTGCACAGTCTTTCAGCTTCCTTTATTGTGAAATCCTTTTAAAATAGCACAGTATAGTGTAGAGAACTTATTGAAGTATAACTGTCTTACACCAACTCTGTCAGATAAAATGAAGGAAAGTGATCAGGCTTCTTAAATTAATAAATCTGCTTAGTGTCTCTGGTTGCCTTCACACTCTCTTACTGTCTTTGACTCTTTCCTTATTAATAAACTGATAGTTAAATAAAGCTGCTGAGTGAAGCAATGCACCTTGTCGGTGGAAGAGGGTTGGTGCCTCCTGTTCCAGGTCTGCTGTGCTGGGAATGGGTGTGGGTTTAGGACAGGGATGGCCACAGCAAGGACTAAAAGCAGGCTGACCACATCAGTTTCTAGATGCTCCTCGGGTGTGAGCCTTGAGTACCTGTTCCTCTCAGCCCCCTGCATTAATAACAGGATGAATTACCCGACTGGCATGAAAGGAGAGGTCGTCCTGAGGAAAATGACACCAAAGGTCCACTGGAGTCATTTGCTTTTAGAGATCCCGGGCCAGATGCCAAGTATTACATTTATGGAAGCACCGTCCCCTTTCTCAAAAAAAAAAAACAAAACAACAAAAAAACACAAAAGAAACAAACTCTAAACCTGAAAGAAAACAAAACAAAATAAAAAGGCAACATCTCTTTCAGTGGCATGTGGGGTCCTTTCAAAGAGGGGGTTCTTGCGAGTGGGGACCCTTGGGTGGGATGTGGGACAGGGATCATTCAGCTGCCTCTAAACGTGCCGCCCACTTTTGTTTTCAGAGCTGCAGAGCTAATCTGGAATCAAAATGCTGGAAAAGTGCCTATAGTTTGTCTTGCTTTTTTATTTTTTGTTCAAGTCGATCGGGCTTGTGGTTTATTCTTGCCCTGATTATGCTGCACGGTTACAATAAATGCAAGGAGCTCAAGCATTCCTGCAGGCGCTTCATAGGAAATATACGTGTATGCCTCTGCATGCACACTCAGGGAGGGAAAGCTGATTGTAAGGGACACAACAAATATCCATATTTAAGAAATGTGGATTGACTCACTGACTTATCTCACTTATTGTACAAAGATTCATTCTATGTTGATTTTTTTTTTTAAATTAGATTTTAAATATGTGTTGACAGGATGAATTTGTACAGTGTGAGTAACTGCAGGGGGAAATGACAGCTCTGCTTTTGTTATTAAACTACTGTCTTGAAAATAATGGAGTGTATACAAAAATTGATTATTATTTTGCCAATTACATTAGTGCAGCTAATAACAATCATTAAGAAAGAAATACAGAAAGCTACACACTTTCAGATCTTAGAAACTGATATTCACTGGTGAGGCAAAAAATATGTGTTTTTAAGGTAATTTGCCAGTAAGAATCTCCTGTTATTAATGTGAAGTAAATGCTAGATGCATGAGCTAGAAATGTTTCACTTTAAACTGTGTTCATTTCTTCTTCACTCAGTCAGAGTTAATAAACAGTACAAGAGACTTTCTAAATTTAATTTAGGATTTGCATATAAAAGGTCCTATTCTGTACCATAGTGGCACAAGAGACAGGCTTTACGACGTTAAATATTCCTTTTAATAATAGTTTATTTTAATATATTTACTAAATTAGGTACCCGAGAGAATCATCTACAACGGTGATGTGAAAATCCCTGTTACCTGAGGTCAAAAATAAAAGGTATGTTTTCCTTTTCATTAGCAATTTGCCATATTTCAGCAGGGGTGGTAATTTCACTGCTTTGTTTTCTGCTGCTAAGATGGTGCTTTTTGCTCAGCGCTGGGGAGCCGATGTCAGGCTGTGGTGCAGTTTTCTGGGCTTTTGGGTGAGGCTGATTTCAGGTGCCTACAAGAACCACTTGCAATGATGGGGCTTTGTACTTTTGTCAGCCAGGCAGCTCTCCCGTGTCCCACACCTCATATATAATCCTTTGCAAATGTTTTCTTTCTTTTTCTTCAAATGCTAGCGTTCAGACATCAGCTACAGGGATTAAGGATGGGTCTTCTGAAGATCTCCCTCAGATCTTGATGAAAATAATGAGTCTGTGTTAGAAGACTTCAGTACTTACAAATTACAATAGAGTTTAATTCACAGCACTGCTTTCCTCTGGAAATTCATGTTCATTCAATCTGTCAACATTGACTAAAAAATATGCTGCTAATGAAAATGTGGGAATTAAAACTTTCAAGCCCTTCCCCTGTTAGGCTCAAACAGGCACTTTATTTTTTTTTTCCATGGAATCTGACTTTTATTGACCTTGACTATAAAAATACTAAGTGGGTTAAATGAGCGCCAAGGTTGCAATGACAGATTCCTGTGTGAATTTTTTTATGAAACCTCCTGTTTTAGTTAAGAGCACAGGCTGCCATACAGACTGCCACGCTTTGATCAACGGTTAAGTGCTGTTAGAAACAGCTGAATTTTATTAGCTCATGGAATTAAGCTTGTTTAAATAATAGATTTATTTTTTATCTTTTAAAAGAAATGTAAAAACCAATTTGAAATAATAGATCCATTTGTTAATTTTGAAAGTAAATTTAAGTAATGGATTTATTATTTAAAATTTAAGTGAGGATGGGGAGGATGTAATTGGTGCTCTAGACTGTACAGTAAATGGGACTGAGAGGAGTTTTTGATGGTATATGTAGAAATATGATGGCTGCAGAAATAAGTTTCTCAAGGAGCACTGCAGGACCTTTATTTTAAGCCTTATGCTCCTCTTCCCTGAGGAACACCCTGGATAGGGTTTTGCCTGCATTGCATTTTATTTCTGTTTTTCACCACTGTAAACGAGAGGGAAACCAGACCACTTGGGTTTTTGTGAAAACTTTGAGTGCACTATGCTTTTTTGTAAGAATAAAGTTGCTATCAGCTGAAGTAAATACATGAAGTATGTATTTCAATTGCAAGGTGCAGCACATGTTTCATCAACTTGCTCCTAGGGAAACATTTCTAATTTCAATAATCCCATGAGGAAATCTGCCATGCTTCCTGTAATTCATATATATGATTATTAGATTTATATAAATTAGTGATATTTATTCTTTTTATTGATATAATAGGAAAGGAAATCTTTTTCCGTTATCGACACTTGTGATCTCAATACTTGCTTAGCTTGCTGCTCTCTGGGACAATACCTTGTGTCTTCCTTCAGTATTTTGTGGTTACATTTTCACGTATATAGAGAGAAAAAAACAACAAAACAACCAGCAGCAATATTCTGTTAGTTTTAAGCAAATACCTCTTGGGTCTTGGAAGAGTTAACAAACTTTTACGGCAAGGTTCAGGCAGTTCTGACCCCTATGGTAATATTTCATCTAAGGTTACTGTTGGGAGAGAAATCAAATTTCAGCTGTGAACATGATTGACAGGTGAAAGCAAGAGAGAGAAAGACATCTGGTCAGATGGGGAATTTGGGCAGGAGAAGGACAATTCAGGGAAGTGTCTCTGTGATATTAGGAATAATAAGCTTAGATATGAAAACTCCGATCCTCCACACTGTCTGGAGGAGAGCTCACTTGATATTCATGGAGGTGGCTTGGTTGGGGGAATTAAAGACTGTACATTTATAGTAGTGGACAGTAGTCTCCATGGTCTGACTTACTAACTTGGCACCTCTGAAGGAATTATGTTATTTCTGGCAAACTTTTAGGATTTCAAGGCCATTTATTTAATGACTGTGGCTGGAATATTTGGTGGTTGCTGGTTAAGAGGTTCTCACCATGTTGTCCCTGGCAGGTCAGGCAGCAGCAGAGGTGGTGGAGGCCAGTGCTGATGTCACTCCATGTCCTCTCACTTCAGAGAGCTTTCAGAGTAAGCACTGCAGGATGAATTTTGTGTTTATGATATACACTGTTATACCAGCAACAAAATTAGTTGCTACCCCATAAAATACCACGAAGGGTCCATTGTGTTGTTTTACAAAGCAACTGTTATTTTCCAAGGGCTGTGTTTTGTTTTATTCTAGCTCCCAGCAGCATCAACTAAGGTCCCTTACAACACATACATAACCCCAGGTGTATTTCACTGTGCTTCAGTGTATTTTATTTGGTGCAGAAGAGCTTTTCCATTCTCCAATGTCATGGAACCGACAGGAATAAAATATCACTCTATTTCCTGATCAGCAAGATGATGTTGGAAAGACGAATTTGCTTCTGACATAAAAAATGTAGCCAGTTTTTTTTCTTAAAAGGGCAAGGAAAAAAAAATCTGTTGATTTTCATCACTGTGTGTAACAATGTCTCAGTTTTCAAAGAGGCTCTGAAGGAGTTTTTTAGCGCTCCAAGGGCAGGATGAGGCAATGATGGACCCTGGGATCTAAACTGCATCCTACCTACATCCCAGGTGAGAGAAGACATCCTGGGTGGGCTTTGACCCCCACTGAAACCTTTGGTAAAATCTCCCTTGAATTCCTGGAGCACACACTTCTACCACAATGGAATATCTACAAGGGAGGTTTTACTAATAAAAAGCAAAATTTGAACTCATACAGAGGTAGCTGAGCTGTGAATTCCCAGGATGCATGTTCTTATTTGGGAGTAAGGATGGATTTCCCGCTTTCCCAGTACAGCTAAGCTGCTTTCAAAATAGAATAAATTAACCAGGAAAATCCACTCTTATTCTAGAGTAGGAGTGTCCACCCAGGCAATGAATAGCACTGCAGTATAGTTTATTTCCTAATTTCCCCATATGGATGAGATCTAAACTAAGGAGAGAATAAAGAGTAGTAAAGAACAGAAACGTATTTTCTGTTCCTTTTCCAGTTTGCCTCTAAGACCCTTCACACAGGGGAAATCATGGCACTCTGAAAATACACATTTGCTTACTTTTCACTGCTATTCCTGCATTTGCACATTCATTTTTAAGAGATTTGTGTTTTGTGCAAGACCTTTTTCTTTCTTACACATTTCAGGTGTATTTTTGATGTGCAGTTGAGTCTGTCTGTTCATGACATCATTTCTCTTTTCATGGCCAAGGCCTGTGATATCAAACTACCCAGCTTCACTGCAAATGAGATCTTGTTTTTATTCCTAGACTGTACATCTGATAAAATTGAAAACTAAAGCTAAGAACTGTAAAACAATCAAATTTCTTTGTGCATGAGCAAGTTATTTTTAACTTTACGTTGTTGAATTAACACTCCCTGTAAAATGTCTCTATTTTCCGAGGCTGATATCAAGATAACTTCCATGAAATATTATTGGCAAACTTCCCACAGCAGTCAATGGGAGCCTTGTATGTATTTTTCAAGCAGATGTGCTGTATTAAGCCTAAATGAGAATCTTTTTTTATCAAATGGGATGCAATATGTTATTCTTGATTAAAAAATTCAGAGTAACCTCTCCCCCTCCCTTTCCTCTCCCCAAACATATTTAGTACAATTTACAGATCATTTTACATAGGTAAAAAATAAGTTCTCAAGTGTTTAAAAAGAGCAGGATTTTACTCAAATGCCTTTTTAGCTCATTCCTATGAAATTGAAGTATGAAAATGTTTCGAATCTTTATGAGTGAAGAGAAAGTATATGCCATATGTAACAGCTTTTACTCCCCTAAAATTCCCAGGAAAGTCAATTTAATACTTTTCCCTGTGTTTAGAGTAAGATCTAAAGTATTTTCTGGTGATGTAGTTCTTGCTGTTGTTTAGATCTAATAAAAGATTTAAGTGCTAAAAAAAAAAAAAAGTAATATTTTTAACATCTCTCCTGGGTTTTCTAATTTGTGCTATTTACCAAATGATTCGCACTGTACCAAAATACAGGAGATTGATGAGCCAGGAAAAGTACTGATTTAACATCCCACATATAAAATTATTTCTCAGGCTCCACATATAGTCACAATGTTTAGAGAGTGAAGAAAACGGGAGTTGGGAGTCACAGTCTGACTCACTTGTGAGACTTTGACCCACTTATTTGATTCTAGATTCAGCAAAATACTGAAGCACTTTAAACTTGTTATCTGAGGTTTCTTCTAAAGGTCTGTTACCGTTGATCTCTTTATATCTCAGTTTACATAGTTACAAACCTAGATAATTAATTCTTACCTTATAGGTTTTCATGGGAGTTAAAAAATAGCTGTAATGTTTCTTGAAGCCTTTTAATGAAAACTGGTTTATTGAAGTACTTGTCATTTACCTTACTTTATACTCTGGGATGGGAAATCACTGGTGCTGCCCAGGTCCCACACACCATTTCTACTGGGATGGGAATTTAGTCTCCTGAGTGCACTGGGCCAGGATTACAAAGATCAATTACAAAGTGCTTTGGGGGCTGGTCATTTTTTGAATTACACATAACTTTACCCTGATTCTGAACATGCCAAAATATAGGCAAAATCAGTTATGTGCCCCATCTCTCTCTTAAAGACAATCTATCTTTAATACCTCTGTGTACAGAATAGCTCCTGTGCACCTGCAAGGCATGCAGAGGTCACACTGTCCTTGTAATTCCTCCCCTTCCTGCCATTACCTTTTTTTTCCCAAGGTTCAAGCCATTATCATTCAGCAGTTGTGCAGCTTTTCTTTTCTTCCATCCCCAAATTATTATTGTTTCCCTCCTACCTTCTACCTCTCCTGAACCATAATGGAGTCCTCAGCTGTAAATTTGCTAACTATAAAGATTTTTGCTTGAAATGTTTTGAAAATGCTGTGAAAAAAAAAAAAAGAAAAAGGAAAAGAAAAGA